TGTATGGTAGTCGATTGCTATAGCAAAACATGCATTTACTTCATCGAAAATTCCACCAAAAGAATATGATATGGCAAAAAGGCCTGGCCTTCCTTGAAATTCACATTTGCCCTGTGACCCAAAAATGCATTCGTTGCAGTGTAGCCGAGTGGTTAGTGTGTTAAGTTCCCATCCTGCACTGTCGCGGTTCGACTCCCGTTGAGGGTGTTGATAAGACCGAGGCGAGGTCGAAACTGCAGTCCACTTCAGCCGGGATAAGAACAACTTTTGGGAAAGCAAGGATATGTGAAATTCAATGGCAACGTCAGCTCAACTCATATCATTGTGGGAAAATTCTTCTTCCTTTATCACCTTAAACAAAATTGGGTGAATACATCTCATATTGCTCCTCCTTTGTCGACCCTCAAAACTATTTGCCCGTGTTGTCTAAGCTCTTTTGTGATATTCTATTAACACGTTTATTCTTATTTTGTGGTTCTACATGGTTATCAATTAGAGGAACAACATGTATTTCAATCTCATTTCTAGTTTATTTTGCTAATCGGCCAGTAAAGTTAATAACTTCTACCAAAATCGCATCAGTGAAAATCTTACTATTTGGCAAAGCATAATTAAGGCCTGCAGATACAACTTCCTCAGTAGTCTCGTCCAATGATGTTTTGACAGGCTAACCCCTAGCCGACATATCTTCATTTTCTCTTCTCTGGTCGAATTCCGATTGTAAAGATCAACTTCTAAGTGTCATTGATTGAAGCTTTAGTAAATCCTCAGCATTAAGAATATCAGACAAGACTTGCCTTAGTTTGGTTTTTGTACGGATCAAATCATGTAATCTGGTACTGCATTGAAGAAGTGTTTCCTCAACCAAATCACGAAATAATTTTATAAGATCTCCCTTAGTTCTATTTGGCAAATCGGGTCTATCTGGAATACAAAACTTAGGGACAATACTACGCGAAGAACATACTTTCAAAATTTCAATAATATTTTGTCTGGCAATTCGTTTCTTGGTCTTTGTGTGAACTGACGAGTTTCGAAAAGTTTGCTCTCCATACATACTTCTGAGATATGAAGAGAAGCTGAGTTTCGAAGAATCCCTTTCTAGATTGATACTGTCATTCATTTCATTTCGTTTGAGAAGTCAGCTTGAAATGAATGGTAGATTGGCCTCACCATTAAGATCGCAAAGTGAGGTGTATGAAATAAATACGATCTCATCTGGCTACTCTTCTTGGTGATTGCTTGTGAATAGTGCTCTTTGGCTCTAACAATGTTCGTCACATGACAAACTGAAACTCTGCATGGATGAATGAAATCACAGCACGATGAGCCGAGGTCTGCTTAGCACAATTCAACAGTCAAAAGTTCAATGCAACCCTCCGTCGGTGTCCAAAGAAGCCAATTTACGAATTCTTCAACCCACCTTCTCAAAAGAAATAAAAGGTATTCCAGTATCAATGAAGTAAGGGATTCTTCGAAAGCCAGCTTCTCTTCATGAGCATGCATTTTATTCCTCGAATTGGCCCTCCCTCTTTTGCCCACTCGCCAGCCAATCATTTGTCTCGACGGACGGTGTCCGTAGAGGTCTGGCACACAAAAAAGGATAATATTCAGACGCCTTCGATGGGGGCGGAGTCGTGCCAGGGTTGGAAACTCTCCCACAAAATAGGCAACCGTCACCGTCATAGTTTCTAGCACATATTTTTTTGCTTCAGCAACATCAACATTTTGAAAGTGTGATTTGTGAGAGGTCTACATTTTTAATGTAAGTTGCATCTGCCCTGTGACCCATAGACAATCGGTCGTAGCTGTACAGATGACTGGTGGT